TCCAAGGGATTGAATCATCGGCCAATTCCAGGAATTCCTTAAATTTATGGATGCTGAGTATGGGGACATCATTTACTTTTCTGAAGAAAGATGGTTAAATCGAGGGAAAATGCTGGCAAGATTTTATGATCTGAGAAATGAAATCAAGTCATTTATGGAATCTAAAGCAAAATGTGTGCCAGAACTTGACGATGAAAACTGGCTCACAGATTTGGCATTTTTAGTCGACTTGACCACTCATTTAAATGAGTTAAACATGCATCTTCAAAGTAAAAACCAATTGATCAGCACAATGTCTCAAACTATAACAGCGTTCGAAATGAAACTGAGACTATGGCATTCTCAAATGAAGGCAAAAAAATTGATGCATTTTAGCACATTGGCTAAACACGCCTCTGTGAACACGGAAAAATACGCAGCCTTGCTTTTCAATTTGGTACAGGAATTTCAGAACAGGTTTCAAGATTTTAGAAAAAATCAGCCATCTTTTCTGACATTTGCAACTCCATTTTCAGTGGACATTAATATATTACCTGCCAATTTGCAAATGGAATGCATAGAGCTCCAATCTGACATTCAACTGAAAGAAAAATTTGACCGTGTCTCTTTAATGGACCTTCTATAAGATACATCTTCCCAGAGAAAAATATCCTTCACTTCACAATCATGCCTTATTCATGTCACCGCTATTTGGAAGCACCTACATTTGTGAGCAGCTATTTTCAAGGATGAAGCACACCAAGAATAAAACTAGAACCAAAATACCTGATGAGCACCTTGAGCACTCACTGAGAATTGCAACAAGTGCCATCGAAGCAAATATGGATGCATTGGTGGCTGAGAAACAATGTCAAACATCTCACTAACTTCATTTCCAAATAAATTTAATATGTTAACTATGTTTTTCTATGGGTTTTTTGGATGATCAGGTATTGTTACTGTTATTTTATTTTATGTGCGGCCCAAATCAAATTTTCATCTTCTAATGTGGCCCAGGGAAGGTGAACGGTTGGACAAGCCTGGTGTAGAGGTTGCTATTAAGTGTATGAATAAGGTAAAAGAACTTATAAATATAGCTCAACATGGTTCCCTGAAAACGATGACACACTGATAGAAGAGAATCATATGTAGTTCAGGATTAAACTCTCGGTATTCTCTGAGCAGACGTATCATTACCCAACAAGGTAATGTCATCCGTGTGAATGAGTGTTGGGTTTGCTCCCTAATCTATACATCATCATTTGAGGCCGATCAAGAGGCTCCATCAGTGTAAGTGTGAAAAAGGATCATGCGTCCAGTGGTGGGATTAATTTTTTTTTTACTATTGGTTCTGCTTGGTGGGCGTGGCTTGGCAGGCATGGCTTGGTGGGTGTGGCAGGGGAAGGATATACTGCAAAATGCCCCTTCCCTCCCCACCCCACTAACCTGCTTTCCAGCTCCCTTCTCCTGTGCAGGGTAACCAAAGGAGACCCAGCCGATCAGCTGGGACTCAATGGGAGGCAGAGAAGAGATGGGGTTGGTGGGGCCAGTCAGGGGTGGGATTTGTCGGCTCTCTGAACTACTCAAAATTTCTGCTACCAGTTCTCCAGAGCCAGTCAGAACCTCTTCTGACCCAAATCCTTTTCCAATAAAACAAACATGAGCCAAAGGGAACAGAGACCTTTTAATGATCCTTATGAATCCCCGGTTAAAAGGCTGCTGCAAACTAATTAACTTTGCTTACCTCTTTCTAAGTAAACTTATCTGTTATTCTTGGCAGCCTCACCAAAACTGTGCGAGGCTGCCAAGAATCACAGATAAGGTTACCTAGAGATATTTTACAACACAAGAGTCTTCAAATACCAACTCAGATACTGCAATGTCCATGAGGCTGAGTTTCAAAACGTCTTTGCTTCCTGCAAAGAATGTCCGATTCACAGCTGGCTTTTATCTTCTTGGAGGAGGGGCCATCACCTTGTAGCCTTACTCCCGAGTTGCCCGTGCTGCTGCAGCTGCTCTTTCCTCTGAGCAACCCTGCGTGCACGCGCACTTGGCCCAGGCTCCTCAGGAACCTCCTTATCGCTGCTGCCAGCCCCCACCATCTCCGAAGGCAGCACTCCACTCCCTGATGGTCCTGGCCCCTCATCAGAGTCCTCACTGCTCTCCTCAGCCTCCCACACCTGCTAACCACAACAGAACCGGCTGAATACCACCTCTGCACATGCCCCCTTTTTTCACTGCTGCTGTAATTTGGAATGGCCACTACAAGAACAGCCATAAGTCGAGAACGATCTGTATTTCTGCCCCTGGATCTCAGCCTTCAGATAAATGGCGGAGAGAGAGAGAGAGAAAAAAAGAGAAAGAAATCCCACCCTTTTCGCATGCTTTTAACCGAGCCCATGAGCCCAGGATATTTTTTTAGCTTTTGTATTCTCCGCCGAGGTCGTCCGCACCGCATCTCCATTAAGGTGTTAACAGAGGACCAATCCTTTTGTGCAGCCCCCCGCCCGGTTTCTGAAAAATCAAAAGAGCCTCTCACGACTCCAAGGTCTCTCTGACCCATTTTGGCTTCTCCGAAGTCTCTCCTTGCGATTGAAATCTCTCTTTTGTTCCTCTTTCGAAGAGAGGAATTATCTCTCCTGGCCTCCAAACCAGGTGAAAAGGGAAAATGTCCCTGCGGCAAAGGAAGGTGATTTGTCACGAGGGATGGCAGCTTGCTTCCTCGCCGTAGACTCCTCCTCGCCTTTTCTCGAGAGGCTCTCTATTTTTTTCTTTTTCTGTTTTTATCGTGTCCGATGCAAAAGAGGCGAACCGTTCTTGGAATCGCAATTGCAAAAGCAATGAGTTGACGCACAAAGCCAGACCGAAAAGTTGGCATGTGTGGCCTTTTTTTTTGTTTTTTGTTTTCCTTGTCACTTTGGGTCCTTTCACTGCCAGGAAGGAAAATTGGAGAAAGGGGATGAATGTAGAAATCAACAGCCCATCAAGGAATCGGCCTAATTACAATCAAGGACTGGAATATGTTTCTTTCCTTTTATGGAGGTTCTCGGTCATTCAGGTCCTGGTTGTCCCAAAGGTGCTTTTTTTTTTCTTTTTCCAAGAGACAACTGGACTTTCTTTGCTTTTTTTCTTTGGAAGACGTTTCGCTTCTCCTCCAAGAAGCTTCTTCAGGCTCTGACTGGATGGTGGAGAGCGGAAGGATTGATGCTCCTTGCAGACAGCTGGTCATTTGCATCCTTTTAAAGATACCTTGAGGCCACTTGGAGGTTTAATCTGTGTCCTCGGGGTCACCTGAGTGGTGCAAATGGTTCCTGTAGTCTGCCATTATTTTTCCTCTGGAAATCCCTTCCTACTTCCACACCATTCCAAGAGGATCCATCCCAAATTGGATAGCTAAAAGTCTGTAGAGATTCTCAGTCATCCAGGTGAGGATTGTCTGAAAGGTGCTTTTTTTCCAGGAGGCAATTGGACTTTTCTTGTTTTTTCTTTGAAGATGTTTCAAGAAGCTTCTTCAAACGTATTCAAAAGGAAAAACAAGGAAATCCATTTGCCTCCTGAAAAAGCACCTTGGGGGGCGGGGGGGTGTCTTTCTTTTCCCACAAGTGCTACATTTAACGTCCCGCTTTGCTGCAGTCAGACGCCAGGGAGCAGGTGGTTCCTGGTGCAGAATTTCAGGAGGTGAAGTGCAGGGACACCACAACGCCCCAAAGATTGGTGACTATCTAGCAATGATTTGGCCTGGTCGATCCAAGGAGGACACTTTCATTTTGTCACTGTGTGAAAGAACCGATATCCTGTTCCAAAGAGGTGTTTCCTGCCACCTTTTTTATCCACTCAGCCTGAAGACTTCATTCCACATTTTATCAATCAAGAATGCTGGAGATCATGTCTGTCTGTCTCTGTCTCTGTCTCTGTCTGTGTACCTACCTACCTATCTACCTACCTATTATCTATCTACCTATCTATCTATCTATCTATCTATCTATCTATCTATCTATCTATCTAATCCACCATCTAACTTTCTCTTCATCTTTATCTCATTATTTATCTATTATCTATTATCTACCTATCCATCCAATGATCTTATCTCCTATCATCTATCTATCTATCTATCTATCTATCTATCTATCTATCACCTATCAACTATATATCTTAACTTTCTCTTCTCTTTATCTAACATCTACTATCAACCTATCTATTCAGCTACTTACCCACCTACCTACCTATCATCTATCTTATCTTTTTCTCTTCTCTCTTTATCTACTATTATCTACCCATCCATCCAAATATTTTGTCTGTCTGTCTGTCTGTCTACCTACCTACCTACTTACCTACCTACATCCATCTGTCTGTCTATCTGTCTATCTATCTATCCCTATGTCATCTAATATACAGTACACACATATATACACTCCACCCCTCTCCCTCTCTCTCTCTCTCCCTCCCTCCCTCCCCTTCTCTCTTTCTCTCCTATCTATCTATAAAATCTGAAAAATATCCACTCCTTCTTGGAAGAGGCAAGGGCCAATATCGCCTCCGCTAGGCTTTTGTGCAGGCTTCGCAACTGAGTCACCATGATTTTCAAAAACGTGCCCCTGCAATCTACTCAGCGCAGCCTATCAAAGAAGTCCGTATTTCCGTTTCCTGCAGGCCAGAATGCCCTGGCCAAAGGGAAATGAAAGGGAACCGGCTGTTGAACCATCACTGCAGAAGCAATGATGGCAGGAGGTTATGAAGAGGCGGGCTGGCCAATTTCGCAGTTCGCTTGCAATCCAAAGCCCTGATATAGATATCCTCTAAAACAACCTGACCTCCACTAATTTCAACTTGAGAGCTCAGCTTGGATTTGCTTGACAAGACAATTGGAAAACAGACAACAGATAATCAGAGTTGGAAGGGACCTTGTAGTTCATCTAGTCCAACCCCCCCGCCCAAATGGGAGACCCTACACCATTTCTGACAAATGGCAGTCCAATCTCTTCTTGAAGGTCTCAAGCAATGAAGCTCCCACAACCTCTGAAGGTAACTTCTGTTCCACGGGTTGATGGTTCTCACTGTCAGAAAGTTTCTCCTTATTTCCAGGTTGAATCTCTCCTTGTTCAGTTTCTATCCATTACTCCTTGTCTGGCCTTTGGGTGCCTTGGAGAATAGCTTGACCCCCTTCCTCCTCCTCTCTGGGGCAGCCCCTCAAATATTGGAAGACTGCTATCATATCTACCCTGGTCCTTCTCTTCATAGACTAGCCAGGCCCAGTTCCTGCAACCTTCATATAGTTTAGTCTCCAGTCCCCTCATCGTCCTGGTTGCTCTTCTCTGCACTTTTTCTAAAGTCTCCACATCTTTTTTATTCCCCATGGTCATCCCCACTCGCCCCACGAACCTGGCTTGGCCACGGGGCTGCTTCTTTCCGCTTCTTTCTTCTTCTTCTCTTTTGGCTGCACGGAAGGAAAGCAGCCGAAGTCTCTCTTTCTCTCCCCCCAAACTCTGCCAGAACTGAGTCTTTGGGACCCTGCAAGGCCTCCTCCTCCAAGAGGCTGTGCCAGCAAAGACTCGTTTCTGGCAGAATTTGGGGGAGAGAAAGAAAGACTTCAGCTGCTGCTGCTGTTTTCTTTGCATGAAGCCAAAAGTCTTTTTCTCTCCCCACCCCAGAACAGAGCTGGAGATAGCATCTTGCAATCCCAAATAAAGAACAATCGATCGGTAGGAAAACGGGGTGGGGGATTTTCCTGCAGACTTTGGGGGGCATTTTCCCAGGGTCTCTGGTCCTCAGGATTTAAAATGATGAGTTTGGGGGTCCCTGAGATCCAAAAGGTTAGAGACCCCTGGACTAAAGGGCCGTGCTGATCTCCGTTTCTTTGCTGAGGGAGCCAGTGTTATCCGAAGATGTTCCATGGTCATGTGGCCAGCATTACTATATGCCGAAAAGTGGTACCTATTTATCTACTTGCATTTGCATGCTGTCAAACTGCTAGGTGGGGAGGAGCTGAGGCAAGGAATGGGAGCTCACCCCATCCTGTGGCACTCCGGTCTCAAACCTGGGCTGTCAAGCTGACAAACTCAGGAGCTTTAACTATTGAGCCATTGTGCCTCCATCGATACCTATCAATGATAAATATCCTGTATCCCTGTGTAATTGTCCCGTGTACGTTATTATGAGTATGAAATCCAGAAGGTTTTAAAACCCTGCAATGCCATTTTTTTCTTAGCAAAAGAAGAGAAAAATTGCTAAATTGTCCCTCTCTGCAAAGAGCTTCTAAATATAGAACGAACAGTACTTGGGGAAATGATTAGTACTGATAAAAGGAAACGATGGCTTTCTCTGGAGAACGCTCTGAAAAAGTGGCGTGGTCGTAGAACGTGTGGATTCTCCAGCCAAGTTGGAGAGGAGTGGAAAAAACAACTATTACACAGGGCAGCTTGACATGGGAGAGGCAGAAGTGGATGGATGAAAAAGCCAGGATTTTGAAATTCAGAAAGACCCTGAATGAAACTGTGGATGCGTTGAAGGTAGTTGGCTTAAAGGAGAAGGAAGGAAGGAAGGAAGGAAGGAAGGAAGGAAGGAAGGAAGGAA